TGTTTGAAAATTCGGATCGGTATAGCAGATTAATTAGGAAGCTCAATTATCTCACTATTACTCGACTGGATATTTCCTATGCAGTCAGTATAGTAAGTCAGTTCATGGGGTGCCCTAGAGTACCACATTGGGAGACAGTTGCTCGTATTCTACGATATCTCAAACGTGCTCCTAAACTTGGACTGTTATATCGAGCTAATGAAAATCTTAGAGTGGAAGGTTTCTCAAATACTGATTGGGCTGACTCTCTTTCTGATCAAAGATCAATCACTGGTTATTGTACTTTCTTAGGAGATAACGTTGTCTCATGAAAAAGTAAGAAATAATCCGTGGTAACAAGATCCAGTATTGAGGCTGAGTATAGAGCAATGACGCATACGACGAGTGAGTTGACTTGGCTACTATACTTCCTCCAGGAAATTAGATTTCCAATTCAACCTCCTTTACGGTTGTTCTATGACAAACAGACAACTATCCATATCGCTATCAATCTAGCGTTTCACGAGAGAACCAAACATATTGAGGTTGATTGTAACTTCATTCGGAACAAGATAGTAGCTGAAGAGATTATGACTCCATTTGTGAAATCTGAAAATCAGCTTGCAGATATGTTTACCAAAACATTGAGTCGTACACATCTTACAACAATTTGTTCCAACCTTGAATTATATGATATATATAGTCCAACTTGAGGAGGAGTATTAAGAGTATTATGTGTAAATTATTAAGAGTGTTAGGGCATTATGTGTAAATATAAGAGGGTGTATTTGTCTTTCTTATTATTGTAAGTTAACTATAAATACAAGTGATGTATGAGAGCTAAGTTAAGTTTTAACTTCTCTCTGTTTCTCTCTAATATTATGTGTATTGACAGTTTCCACCAACCAAATAGACTAAAAAGACAAGACTATACTAAATATAATGTTTTAAGGTCTTTAATAAAACATTAGTTGCCAAAAAAAATAAAACACTAAATTGATACCTAAGATATTTCTTCTTTTTGCCAAAAAGTTACTACTCTCAGAAATGAAGCATTGTCATGCTTGGCAGTCTAAGTGTCTGATGCATCAAGCAATCTTAATGACCCCCACATATCCTAACTCAACCCAATTCCTAGCATATATAAAAGTAATTCTACTAAGAGGAAAATTCAAATAGCAAAACAAAGGAACTCCTTCTCCAAGTTATTCTTCCAGAAAAATTACCATAAAAATGAAACTTACAGTATATATAAACACATGATAAGTTCCTGCATACTTCCATGCAGACTTAAGTAACCTAAAAAAGAATAGTTACAAGAAATATTTCTTTACTACAAATATTCAATTAGAATGTCAGTATAATAGTTCAAAGTGTTTAAATTCCTTACAAGAGCAAGTTCAAGGCACTCTCCTTCCATTTTCTTATAGTGCCTTTTTAAGACATGAACCATTATCCATTTCCTGTTATTGCATACATAGAACAATTTCAAGTCGTAAGGCATTGAAAGCATGCAATGTAGGAATACTTTGTACGCTTTTCAATTTCTAAAGTTGGCTTCATACCAAAGTTGTACACAATGGCTCTTCTCTGTTTTTGACTTCCAAAATTGGCCACTTACCAACCTGCAAGAATTCCAAGACAGATTTAAATCATGCTGAATCAATGTAGTCATACCAATTTGAAAACTACATATTTAAAAATTGCCATTATTTGTTGACAAAAAAACTACAGCTAGATTCAAATCCGGTATGTCATGGTTGTAAGCACAAGAAGTTCTTAGACTATCAATATCAATTATTATCTAACACCACTGTATTATTCAAACAGGTAATTTTGCAGGCAGTCCAATTGATATACTCATTTTAATTTTAAAAAATTAAAGGCAAACCAGATGACAGCACATGGGCTGACATGAATTTGATTGTTCCACTATTTATAAAGTTATAGCCTAACACCTCTCCTTCATTCTCATTTTGGGACAGTTGTCGCTCCTTCTGGGCCAAATTGTTGGTTGCAATTTGAAGCCTCAAAGATTTGCTACTGCCAGGATTTTATGATTTATTGTTAGAGCCAGTAGTAGTGGACCAAGGAGGGATGCAGAATTGACTGTTAAGATTCTGCCTTTGCTCAATTTTAACATCACTATATAGACTAGCTAGGATTCCCAAGAAATAAGCAACAAAAGAGTTAAAATGTGTTTCAGGACTACTTTTAAGCGTCTTTTTTCATCTGACATATGCTTAAGGAATACTTTGCATCTTTAAGTATCCCAAGCAACTAAGTCAAGACCATGAAGAACAAATGAAGTCATAACTCCAACTAGTTTTATCACACTAGATGACTGAAACCGATCCAGGTGCTTCAATTTGGTACACTTCTGAAGATTATCCACCTTTGCAAACTTGTTTCTACTCAAATCAATGGTTTCGACAACAGGAAGAAGTTGCAAAGCTTACTCCATGAGAACCAAGCCACTACGAGCATAAGAAACAAACAACCATTGGCTCTATTGAAGGGAGTTCTTTATCTCCACATTTCTACGCGGAAATACACCTCGGAGTACATCCTGCATCAATATAGAAAGCCAACTGAACATCAGAAATTATAAACTTCAAATAAAGATTACGGATTATGTCCACTTACATAGTTACATATAAACACCATGACAAGCAATTCTATAACTTGATAACTTATTTCTAGGCATGCACAATTTGTGCAAGTTCAAAGTTATTTAGAACTAATAATAACCCGTGCCTAATGACACTTCGCAATCTAAAAACCTACCATTTTAAAATAGTTTTTGTGTTATTTGCTTTAATTAAAGAAATTGAAATCAATCAAATCCAGCCATTTTTCAATAAATTTCGTCAGACTATCCGCTAAAAATAAAAACTCAAAAAAATTGCAACCTGTCTACAAAACTTATAAATCTCATTGTATGTATCATTATCCAACACTGACCATTCCATAACCAATATTAAGAAAAAAAATGCTCAATCAAACTCAAAGACAACACCAATTATTAAAGAACCAAAATTCACAGTTCATAATCACAGAATACAACTATCATAGTTTTCAATCACAATTCAATTTTATTTTTCCCAAAATCTGCATTCCAAACCCAAATCACCCGAACAACCATCAATTCTCATCTAACCAAACATATCCTCATAACCATGTGTGACTCATTCACCTTATTAAACACGGAACAAATAAAACATACACACAAAACACACACGTGCACAAAGAAAGAAATAACTCTCTTCAACTTCAACTTATTAAGGGCTAAGAGATACAACCAAAGAACACAAACAAATAAGATTGTTAACAACCACCACCACACAATTGTCTGATTGTGATCAAAGGCTTTATTGTCTTCTACATGTGACGTCGTCGAAAAATAACCCCAAGTGTGCTTACATGCATACCTGAAAAATGTAAGGCAAAACCAAACAACTAAAAATTTGAAACCTATGGCCCCTTACTTTTCTCGTCAGTTGGAATCAAAATAATTATCCAAAAAAACACTAATGAAGAACACACATATCTACATAGGGCGAGGAGAATGGGGGGGGGTGTTTGTGTGCTCTATGTGTGTGTCTATTTGTGTGTGGTGACGTGTGTGATATGTGAGTGTGTGTTATATGTGGGATGTGTGTGGTGACATGTGATATGTGTGCGCTGCTGCGTGCGTGTGTGTTCTGGTGTGTGTGTTTGTGTGTGTGTCAGTCGTGAGACAGGGAGGGTGATGTGTGTGCCGTGACAGAGAGAGTGGGGATACCTGGGTGACAACGGAGAAGCCATGGCAGAGTGAGTGGGGAGAGCGAAGGAGAAATGACGCCTGGTCTGGGAAGAAGGTCGCATGCCTGGCTTGGGCTGTGCTAGACAGGGTGGGTGGCATGTGGGTGTAGTTAAATTGGGCGGGATTTTATTTTTGTGTGGGATGTGTTGTGAGCCATTGGATTAAATTTGATGAATTTAGATGAAATCTCAACCATTTAATTTAAAATGCATTCAATTTGAATCGTTATTGTGCTTTTCCATTTTTAAAGAGGTGAAAAGATTCAAATTCACCTCTATCTTATTAGTATAGATGTGAGAGGGAGTAATTCAAACTGCACAACATCAACAGTGATTTGGCATCAAAATTCAACAATCACTTGCATTTAATTACAGGGAAGTAGTAATCAACAGAGAAAAAATCCAAGATCCTGCATCTAACATTTTCTATTCTTTTCACAAGCAAAGACCTCCACCTAATTGCGTCTAATACAACTGCTCTATATCCCAAAATTTCCCCAACCAACAAAAACAACTCTAAGCATGAAATATTCATTCTCTATTCTTTTTGTCAATGTTTCCAGCATCCAAAAGAAACTATACCACAACTTATATTAGTTTGATGTTCTTTTATTTATGTAAAACTGGTATCTCCAGTCAATGGTATCCACCTAAACTGTTTAGGTTACAGAATTTAGAATTCTGTTTCTTTTTTCCAAAGCAACACAAAGTATGCAACCATAACGACATGACCTTCAAATTCTCAGTTTTTACAATTTTCTGAGCAACCAAAAGGAAATTTAAACCAAAAAGTGAAACTCACAGTAGAATTGTGACTGATCAACTTCTAAAAGAATGCCTCAGCTTCAGTAACCCTATAGGAGTCAACAGATCACACCCTCTAGGCTCCAAAACCCTTAATAGTCCAAACAGCTGCACTGACAGCTGTGTTAGATCCCTAGCCAGCGGTAGTGAAACCGAGACCACCATCAATGATGTCAGCAACCTCAAATCTGCCACAGTTGCTCCAAAACTCAGTGGTTGCCAAGGTCTTACACGCAAAAATGAAATTAAAGAGAGGGAGAGAGTATTAGAAAAAAGTAATTTTACATTGTAAGCTAAAAGCATGAAGATTTACATTGTGAAAGTCGTGGAGAGGAAAGTTGCAGAGTTTCCATAGAGAGTAGAGTGGGAGAGTTGCTGAGTATTGGCAAATTAAAGAGGTAAGTGCAAGGAATTCATGGTGAGAATGAAGAATAAACAGTTGCTTTCACTGGCACACCTTCCCCTAACATCTTCTCCCGCAAATTGGAAGCCTCAACCAAGTTTCCTTCCTTACAGTGAGTATCAATCAGTACATTATAAGTGACTTCATCTGCCTCAATACCATTTGCCACCATCTTCTCGAACAAAGCGAATACTTCTGATGTTTTCCCCAAAATGTTGTAACCATGCATGATTGACGTGTAAGTTAAAGTGTCTGGCTTTAAATTTTTTTCCTGCATCTCCAGAAAGAGACGGTTTGCCGCATCCATCTTCCCTGCCTTGCAGTGCCAGTCGATTAAAATTGTGAAAGTCACATGATCAGGCATGATCCCCATACTAGTCATTTCTTGCAACAAGTTGTTGGCTTCTTGCAGTTTCCATGACTTGCAGAATCCATCAATTAAAGTGTTAAAAGAGAGAGTGGTAGCAAAGCCTTTCTGCACCATTTCATTAAACAAGTTTACGGCCTTGTCCAAATCACCTTCTTTGCAAAATCCATGTACAAGAGTGTTGTAGACAAAACTATGAGGTGGAATATCCTTCGACTGCATCTCATTAAATAAACAAAAAGCCTCCATCATATTCCCCAATTTGGAGTACCCGTCTATCATTGTGGCATAGGTCACATTGTCAAATGCTAAACCCTTCTTAGGAATACCATCAAACAATTTTCTGGCCCTCAAAACATCACCGGACTTGCATAGTCCATCAATCAAAGCATTGTAAATAAAAATATTGGGATGAATACCCTTAGAGCACATCTCACCATGAAGTTGGAATGCTTTCTCTACTTCGCCTTGCTTGCAAAACCCTGAAACAAGAGAGCTGTAAGTGAACACATCAGGTGGCAAACCCTTCTCTTTCAGCTCTGTGAAGATCTCAACAGCCTCCTGAACCTTCCCATTCTTTGAGAGACCGTGGATGAAAACACTGTAAGTTTGCACATCTGGAAGCACCCGTAAGCCAAGTATGGTTCTAAATGTTGAAAAAGCTTCCACTAGATTTCCAGTTTTGAAATGCCCATCGATAAGGACAGTGTAAATGACATTGTTTGGCATTAAGCCATGATTAAGCATCTCATGAAAAAGTTTATCAGCTTCTAACATTTTTCCTTCCTTACTGTATCCACAGACAAAAGCCCCATAGGTAACAGCATCCGGGGTTACCCCGCTGACCGCCATTTCCTGTAAGTATGACCGTGCTTCTTCCATCTTTCTGGTTTTGCAGAGATAGTTAATGATAGGACTGTAGCAAAATATGTCAGGCACAACTCCTTTTTCACTCATTTCCTGCAGAACCCTTTTTGCATCTTCAATCCCACCTTCACAGGCATAGCCTGCAATAAGATTCCTGTACATTATGGCATTTGGCTTTAAGCCACTTGCCATTATTTTCCCTAGAAAGCCTTGTGCCTGGCGAAGATCCTTGGACTGGCACAGCTCATTAATCACTATACCATAAGTAACAAAAGTGGGCACCAATTTTCTCTTTTCCATCTCACTAAGTAGCTCCAACACCCGGCCTATATTATGCTCCCTGCAAAAACCCTCAATCAACACACAATAAGTTTGGGAATTAGGTTTGCAGCCCATTTCAATCATCTCATTCAAAATTTCATTTGCTTTCTCCATCTTTCCAGCCTTACAAAGACCATGAAGAAGTATATTATATGTCACAGGATTTAGCTGAATACCACATGCAACCATCTCATCCCTCACTCTCAAAACCTCATCAATGTCATCTTTCCTCATGAACCCATCAATTACAGTAGCGTACATTGCATAGTGAGGCTTCAAACCTATCTTTGACATCTCTTCCAACATCAATGCCACCTCTTCTAATCTATTCTCCTTGCAAAACCAATTAATGAATATTGTGTAGGTATATATATCAGGAACCAATCCCTTCTCACTCATAAACTTCTTCAGCTCAAGCGCCTCAGTGATAGCTCCAAACCTAAGCATTCCTTCAATTACCACATTGTAGCTAAACATATTGGGATTGCATCCTTTCTCATTCATTTCAAAAAGAACCATTTTGGCCTCTTTTATATCCCCAACTTTACAGAATGCGACAACCAAATTCGTGTAAGTATAAACATCAAAACTCATCTTTGCATCTAACATTGCATTGTATACCTTCCAAAAAAACCCCATCATATTACCCTTCAATAAATCGTTCAACAACGAATTACAACACCTCAAACTAGCCAAAATACCACTAGCTTTTGCTCCTAAAAACACATCAGTAGCTTCCATTATCCTACCCAACTTCTTGTAAGTGTCAATTAATATATCAAATACTATAGCATTAGAACGCCCACTAGTTGAAAACCAATACAAAATATTATTTAAAATCGCCGAAACTGGTGAACGGGTTCTTATCATCTGTGCCAAAACCCCATTTGCAGGACCAAACAAGTCCGAATTGCAAAGATTTATAGCAAGAATAGAGAAAGAATCAAGAGTTGGAGAAAGACCCACTTTTGATTTGGACCAATAGAAGAAATCAACAAGACGTTTGAGGTCACCCACACAGTTGTAGCTGTTGGTGTATTGCTGAAGAACAGTAAAAACCACACGTGGGTTCAGCTTCTTCGGTACCTCTGATGATTCCATGACTGATTGCCAATTGGGTTCTCTGAGAAATTTCGATATTTCTCGCGCAATGTACTGGGGTGGTTCTTCTTTGATAAACTTTGATATGTCCCTAATAGAGTTTGGGGACTCTTCTTCTTCGGCGGATTGGGGTTGTGAGCTAGAGAAGGCCTTAGATTTGAAGGAATATAATGGGTTTTCTCTTCGTCTCCTGAGACCATTTTGAACTGTGAACAGAAGCCGTTTTCTTTGTGAGAGTCTCCACATTCCCTTCCTTTGGTTAGTAAGGGATGGGACGATCCTAGAAACAGGGTAGATCGGAAGTAGTTGGTGGAATTGGAGGTTCCGGAAGTGGCTGAAGAATGGGATCAACGGCAGAGATAGGCGACCATGGTGGCGTATTGAGTTGCTGGTCAGCTGAGAGGGGGTGGGCTGGGTCCGAGCGGATGGTTATTAGGGATGGCTGTAGACGGCGGAAAAACGGGATTTTCGAATCTATTTTGTTTGGATTGGGGACTATATATATTGGACGATAGACATATATAAGGATATCCGTATAAATTCGTACGGGGATGGACTTACCCTTATCTCTGTCTTGTCCTCGCCCCACCCCGCCCCTGCTACCCGTTACATATATATATATACTTCAAAATCCTAACTAAACATATTTATTATAATTACAAATCTAAAAATATGATAATTAAATTAATAAGTAACATTGTTATGTGGTAATCTTATCAATTTTTTCCTCTAATTGTTTTTTTTTCTATGTGTGTTTATTGATTGAAACTGTTAGGAGATTGGATTGACCATGCTCTAAAAACATATAAGAGAGAGTAAGATAGTTTTGTATTTCATCGTTGGTATAATTATTAAATTAGAGAAATTTTAATTTTTCATCTTTTACCACTTTATGGTTGTAATATGAATTGTAATAATAAAAATTCTTCAAGCAATCTTCATGTGTAGTTCTATTGTTTTCTTAATTCAAATTTATTTCTCTTTTCTTCCTTTCACTCTAATAGTTCTGTTTCTCTTTTTGTGGTCCAATGACACTTTAAATAGAATGTGCACACACAGATGAAATTCAAGCACTATCGCTACAGTTCAGTAATTTTCTTCTTAGTTTTAATTTCTTTGTAAGTAGTACATTCATATAGAATTGGATTAAATGTGTTATTCTTATATTTCATAAATAGTTTTGGGAAAAAATGAATTTCAAAAATACATTCATACAGAGCAGTCATCTGTTCAAGAATTTCAAGCAGAGGCAAATTATGTGAAATTGGAGGTCTTGTAGGTGCAAATGGGGAAAATACTCCTCACATTGTAGACAACCACAAGAATGTTATTGAACATGAAGGATTTATAACTATTCCATACAGTAATTTCTCACCACATCTCTTAATTAGTACACTGCTGTGATGAAATTGTAGTCTGATTATATAATTACTCTGTCCTTTTTTTATCTAGAAGCTTTCTACATACAGTCAGTTGTTTGTATAAATTGAATTTGTCTATGTCTGCTTCAATTGATATTGGACTTCTATTTTTCTGCTACACTAGTTTTTGGTTAAGAGAATGCGATGCATGCAAATGCTACAGGATCAAGTTATGATACCAAATGCTAGAGTGAGGAGGGTTGTAGTTTGTGATCAAAGGCATAGGGCTGGGGTGGGATAATATGTTTTGCAACCATAGGATGCAAGCATGGAGTCAGGCCCTGGTCTATCATTGTAATAAGGATTTGGTTTGATCATTTGAAGGATTAAAGTCAGCTTCTAAGTTTCATGGATTTTGGTCAGTTTCAGATTGGACAGACTGGCCCTGTTGTGTGGCAATGCTGCTGTTATGCATTCCTGAACAAATTTAGTGAGGATCTGCATCAGGTTCCAGGGTGGAGGTTTTAAGCTGGAGGTTCTTTGTTCCAACTCTGAAGCTACAAAACCTTATAAGGGCAAGTGCTGAGCTGTGAGGCTCTGCATATAGTGGTTGTACAAGATCTGCATAGTGACTATTTTTTTGTACAGTTTTCTGTTTTAGATTGTTAAAACTGTTACTATTTGTTTAATAGTTTCTGTTTTTGCTTCTGGTAATTTTTGGATTTCAATGAATAAAATTCTCTTCTTTGGAGGCATGTTGTGGTTTTGCAGTCAGGATAGAATTGGAGACTAATTTATTTTTTCTTGGATTTCTGGATAAAGACAGAGTAGGGCTTATCTGCTTGTCTCATTGATTGTAATTCTTTTTCTATGAAATAAAGTGTACTGGTTGGTTGAAAATGATGTATTGGTGCACTGGTTGGTTGAACATGGTGCTTTGTTGCATGGTACATAACAAAAATTTACTTGTCCAAGATAAAAAAAAATTATTTGTCCAAGATCAATTCCATAAAAAAATAAAAATGAGATCATGTACACAAGTGTTTCTAAAGGGATGGCATATCTTCTAAAACAACAAAATAGAAGATCCATCATCCCCATAGCAAAAGAAGATCCACCATCCACATTTCAAAAGGATAAAAAAAAGTTGTAAATCTTGAACAAAAATTTGAAGCACCGCATTGCAACAACATCCAGCATTGCAACAACATCCAACATTGCAGCAACATCAATTCTCCTCATTAGGATAATCAACGACGTTGTCCAAGAAGCATGATTCAACATTTACCCGAGTATTTTGTGAAGCAATTGATGCTTGAGATTGGATTTGAGTGACTATAAGTTGATGACCATGAGTAGGTAAATCCATTCATATGTGAATTTTGCTCATTTGATTGAGATACCTTCAAAACAAGCATTCAAATATGTAAGATACAATTAAAAAAAATAAGAATCCAAAATATTATAACCATAATCTTGGGGTTGTAATACCTTAGACCTATAGGAAGTTCCAGTTTTCCTCTTCGTTGGCTTCTCATTCCAAGGCTTCAATCGATCCCAACCCTTGTAACCACCATCTTTCCTCTTCAAGCCAGCTACCCGTACAATGTTAGGCTCAACATTTTCTACTCTTTTAGAGAGAGAGAGAGATTTTCTACTCCTTCATCACCATCATTGTCCTCCTTAGTACCAAGTGATGCATACATCAAATCCACTTGTTTGAACAACTCATCAATACCGTGGTTCACCAACAGGTGTGCAGACTTAAGGTTAGAACAACGAGCTGCTAAATGTACCATTTTAGGACATAGCTGTCTGTAACGTGATGCTGCCATCAACTTGAGATCCTCCTCATTTAGTGTGGCACTGGAATAAGGACTTGATCACTTTCTTGCATCTCGCCTCCATCTCTGTATTATGTATTGGTTATGAATTTGCTTAATGTTCATCGTGTCTAGCACTTTAAGTGCATGACCACATAATATCCCAATCATTTCAAATTTTCGATAGCTACAAAAAATGGTTTGCTCATTGACATTGATCAACACCATGTACTTTCTCTCTTCATCATACAAATATTATTGTTTTTCTTATCTCTTCATCATACCACCCCTTAGGACTTGTAAAGCATTCATCTTTTGGTAGTGAAAAACCCTCCAAAAGTATTATTGTTTTTCTTATTGCTTATTGCTTTCTTTTATTGTATTATTGCTCTCTTTTAATTTATTGCTTTCTTTTACTTTAAGTATTGTTTTCTTTTATTGTGTTATTGCTTTCTTTTACTTCCATTGTTTGAGCTTCCTTCTTCCCTTAGATGAGTGAAACTCTTCTACTATTCTAGAGCTTTACCAAAGCTTTGAAGGGTGGAACGTGATTCACTCATTCTTTGTTGAAGATCGGCTCTTTGTGTAAGTGTGTTACCTTGTAACTTCTCTATTTGGAGGGATGAGCATCACTCACTTTTCTAGCTATAACAAAGCCATGAAGAGTGAGTAGTTTTTCATCCAATCTTTAGTAAGAGGTGATTATCTAGAAGTTATATTTATGCATTTCATTTATGCTTAGCTCTAATCTTTATTCCTTCATAATGTCTTCTCTTCATATTTTTGTCTTTATTTTAAGCATGAACAGCTAAATCTCTTAGTTGGCAAAACCAAGAGGAACCTCCACTTGGGTATACCATTTCAACTCATTCTCCTCCCCTCTTTCAGAGTTCAATGGTTTGGTTTGACTGGGTTGAGGATGGATAACTTGGTGAGTCTTTGATATTTCGTAGGCCTAGTCACGATTTATGCTTAGATACTCACCAATCTTATCCCTAGCTTCCCACGAATCAATCGTTCATTCATGCTCTATTGGGAGAGGGTTTCAAGTTGAGACAGTATTCCTATTGGAGTGACCTTTTGGATTTGTCAACATTTGTTTCTCATTATACTAGCATCAAAACAACTTCACCAAACAACTTTCAACAATCAAAGATTTTACACTTTCTTTCTCCCAAAATCACCTTCCCCTCAGTTTACTTCCTTCCCCGTGGAAACGACCTTGCAATACCACCAAGTAAAACACAATCCGCGAAAGTCTCCTTGCTCTTGGGGAGCACTTTTGTTCACATATACTCACATTTGACATCTTATTCATCCACCATTCCGTTGCCCTTTCTTTTGACATCATCCCTAGGAGAGTGACACTCCCCTTCATTCATATAATATATATACTAAAAGGTGATGTTTAGAGGTTAGGAAACAACAAGGAATTTTGTCAAGTATTTTTGGCGCCGTTACCAGGGAAGGCAAATGTCAAACGAAGAAGGTGATTTCTGGACGATGGAGGTAAGTCCCATGATCTTCATTATGGGCGGAGGTACGTTGTTCCGTGTACATAATCTTGTTTGTGTATAATTTTGTTTGTATATATTTTGTTTTATGTGGATGTGGAACAACCGAAACTGACTTGTTAGACAAAACTTGTCCCCTACCATGAATATTGACAAAGAACAACATGAGGATGCGGGTGATAATTTTGACAATATAGGTGCAAATCCAAATGTCCAAAGGGGTGGGGGACCACAAGAACCCTAAATACCCAATCCGAGAATGAATTTTTTCCCTCCCGTGAATGAGGAGAATAATTTTCAAATGGATCCCCCGGTGAGGTCAATGAGGGATTTCCTACAACCAACACGAAACACCACACCATCATGCATCCTCCTTCCGGTCCAAGCTCATATTTTCATAGTTAAGCCAGGGATGTTACAACTAATTTCCATGTTCAACGGACTTGAAACTCAGAGCCCCTATTCACGCACAAGGGATTTCGAGGAAATAGTTATAACCTTTCTTTCCAATCATGGGATGGAAGAGATAGCTAGAATGAAATTGTTTC